TTAAAACAATGTACCTTGGCTCAGAAAAGGTTGAGAAACACTGAACTACAGTGTAAATAAATGCCTAATAATAATAATAGTAAGGCGTGTCCTGTCCCTTTAAGGCGGGCGCTGCAGCAGCTCCTCACCTCTTCATCATGTCCTTCTCTCCGCCGCCGCCACAGCTCTCTCTGACGTGCAGCGCGTCGTACGTTAGCGTGTACTCGGTCTCGTCGTTGTAGTCTGGTCCCAGCAGCGTCCGCGCCCACATCCCCATATCGTACGGCGGCAGCGTCCCGCCGAACTCGGACGGCAAACACTCAGGCTGGATGAGCTGGTGGAGAGAGTTCAGGTTGTTCCCGTGGAGGAAGATCTGAGGCAGAGAAGAAGAAGAAACGGACCGAAGGAAGACAAGAGATGAGAAATAAAAACATGAGATTAGGAGAGAAAAGAGTCTGAAGGGAACGAGTTTGGAACAGAGGGATGAAAATGGATAAATAACGACAGAGAACCAGAAACAGCTTCTTAAAGGGGCGGTACCATTTAAAATTGAGTTATAATGTTTTTCCCTCTTCAAAACATTCCTGGAGTGTTGGTTTTATTCTTTCATGCATTATTTAGAAATCATCTCCTTGGCAACCATTAGGGGTGCCTAAATGCTTGCTCACCGTTTTTCCACCCAGCTCCTTCAGACTAGCCAGAAGCAATTAGCAAACACCTGGTGGAGCTGCTGAGCTCGTTATAGGAGCTGCTGCTCAGCTGGAAAACCGTTTTAAAGGGTTAAAGAGGAGCCATGTTGGGATGACTTCCTGGAGGCGGAGCTTCAGAAAGAGCAGGAGCTTCTTAAAGAGACGGAGGCCCAATTTCATCAACTGAAGGTACCAGAGTTATTAGATTGTGCTAAAAAAAATGATAAACACATGATACCGCCCCTTTAAACGATGAGGAAGAGGAGGGTGGGCCTTCACCCTTTTCCGGGTCTTGTCCTTGAGGAAGGGCTTGATGATGGTGTACATGGCGTGGATGTACCAGGGCTGGTTCACGAAGTGGATCCCTCCGAACCGGGCCGGGAAGCTGTCCTGAGGAGACACAGCGGAAGAGCTCAGGGAGGGGGACCCGGTCCGATCAGAACCCAGCCAGATCAGAACCCGGTCAGATCAGAACCAGCTGGATCAGAACCCAGCCGGATCAGAACCCAGCCGGATCAGAACCAGCCGGATCAGAACCCAGTCTGATCTGAACCAGTCTGATATGAACCATTCGGATCAGAACCAGCTTACCTGCAGGCCCTCGATGGCCAGCTTCAGGATGTTGGGCGTCAGTTTGGACGCCTGCTTGAAGGAGAAGTTGCTCCAGTCGATGATGAGCGTGAAGCCGTTGATCTGCAGCTCCGGGTTTTCTATCAGAACCTCCAGCGAGAGCAGGATGGCCCGCAGGATGTCGATGAAGGAGTTCCTGCAGGGAGGAGGGGCCGATCAGCCGATCGATCGATCAATAAACGCTCGCTGAGCGTTAGGTACAGCTGTGGAGCGAGCCGAGCAGCTTCCTGTCAGACGGTCATTAAGCTTCAGGCAGCAGGAGATGGATGGTTCTGTCACTGGGCCTGAACCCGGTTCTGATCCACAGCTGTCAGGATTTCTGAAGGTTTGTTCTGAAAGAGCTTAGCTTAGCGCTCTCACTAACTTTGAAGCACATTTAGCTTCTCCTAATTTAATTTTCCTGATAAATTATAGAGCTCTGATTTATCTGGTTGTTTTGTAAACTGTGGTTATCGACTGTTGACAGATTTGCCCTGTAGAGGGCGATATGACACATGGTTGGCGTCAATATGGCTGAAATTTAGCTTCCACTAATTACTGTTTCCATAGCAACTTAGCATTAGCTTACATTAAATATGTTATTTTAGCGATTTAGTGTTAGCAGAATTAATATTTCTTGCTAGCACTTCAGGGTTAGCGCAGCTAGCTTTTAAATTAGCGGTGACCACTGCTGAGACATTCAGAACGCTCTGGTTCTGGTTCTGGTTCTGGAAAGGCAGATTGATGATGGTTTCATCAGACATTCCTCAAAGTGCTTTTATTGAAAATAATCACTGAAAATCCGTCTGAACGATTCATTTAACAGTTCAAGTTTGAGGATTTTTCCAGATTTTCCTCCAGAATGTTAGAGAGTAAACATGGTTCTGACCCGGTGAGATACTCAGAACCTTCTGGATTTCACCACTTTCTCCATCCATCTCAGATGTTGCTGCTGTGTGTTTACCGGCTCTGGTCCCAGTTGGAAGCAAACAGGATGAGGATCTTCCTGCCATGTTGGTCCGGAGCCTCCAACACGCCAGGGAACCCGTCCATCAGGGCCCGCTTGATGCTCGGGTCGTCCACCTGACGGACACACGGCGGAGTCAAACTACAGACCAACGGCTGCACAATCAATCAATCAATCAATCAATCAATCAATCATAGTTCAGGCCAAAGAACTGATGAAGGGGTGAATTTATACAATCACTTATTGTCATTATTTAGTTGAAATGATCCCAGTCCTGTGTGTTTTATTGTTTTATCTGTTCTAGAGATTATGAGCTTCAGTGGAACCAGGAAATGCTCCTGACCCGGCCCCTTCAGAATAAAAGCCCAGACCTTGAAGCTCTGGAACATGTCCAGGTTCTGCTGGCGGAACTGGAAGTACTGGGCCAGCAGGCGGAACGTCTCCACATGGTCGAACTTCCTGGCTCTGAGGAAGCGCAGGATGAAGTCGTCGTCGGTTCGCAGGAAGCCGATGTCCGGCCGCGTCACGATCATATCCCGCACCTACGGAAACGAGAACCGCAGGTCAGAGGAACTTCACTTCAACGGGCCAGAAAAACTGAGCGACTTTTTCCTCTAAAAAAAAAAAAGAGGAAAAAAAGAGGCGACAGAAAATGTTTGAACTGAGGAACAAATGTTTCTGCTTTCTGGTCTGAGATTTTGCCATCCATGAATATTTCCATTATCCAAGGCTGCATCGTCATGGTAACCTTGGTTTTACTGGACATCCTTCTCTCCAGTAAAACCAGTGGTGCTCCAGTGTTCCCAGCCCAGTCCTACTGAGTTCCCCTTGGCAAGAAGAAATCGATTCTATAGCGAATCGTAATTTCTAGTTCTAGGAATCCTGAATCGATTCAAAATGCTCAAAAATATATAAAAAATTATTATTATGATAATTTTTTAATAATATTTTTTGTTATAATGTTTTTATATGTTTTATTTAAGAACAAATCAGGCAGCTAAGCTAACCTAATAGCACTGATTGCAATGACGCCAAACTAATAGAATAGGTATCGCCGCCATTTTAGTTCCGGACAGAAAAGCCCGGTCAGCTGCGGTTTGTGTCTGAACAGCTGATTTGGTTGGTAATCGGCTGATTTAGGTTATTAATATGATTTAATTCCCACCAATAGTTGTTTGCCAACTTCAAATAAACTTAAGATGCAGAACCAAGCTGATAGTGACGGTGTTTCTCACCACTGAAATCTGACCGATTTACAGGCTTTTCTGAATTGATATTTAATCAGAAAATGAAGTGCAAAGCATTGATGAATCAATATTTTTACCTAGACCGGATGCCGAGCGGGAACCTGACAAGGTAAGCCTGGGTAGCTTAGTGCTAGCGGGTGTTAGCTACCAAACTAGCCAGAAACCAAACAGCCAGAAAACTTTTCCTTCTTTCCGCTCATTTTGTTCCCTCCGTATTTCAAATATCATAAAGTTTCTCCACATGGAGCTTCTGTATCTATAAATATTGAAACGAAGCTCCAGAAACATTACATGCTCTTCAGTTTGTGCTGTTTGTCCGAACATCCGGGCAACAGTGACGTCATTTGCTATCAGCGCCATAGTTACAGAATTTCTTGCACAGACCTAATTTTGTTTAAATATGACCTGATAATTTGATATAGAAATGTTTTAATAAATGCTCTGTTTGTTTCTCTCTCCATCATTTGAACCGTTTGAACAGAAGAATCGTTTTCTAAACGGTTCGGCTCCGGTACCTGCTGGATGTCCTGGTGCAGAGTGTCCGGGTTTTCGTTCAGCTCCAGCCGGGCCTTCTCCGTGGTCTCCGAGCTCAGTCCGGGAGGCACGTGGTTCATCATCTTAATCCAGAATAAATCTAATCCAGTCTCAGAGTTTTTATTTTCCACTTAAAGCTGCTTCAGGTTCAGGCCTGAAGATGAGAGACAATCGTTGCTGCTGTTTGATCTCAAACAAAAAGACAATCAGAAGGAGAAGAAGACAATCAGGATGTTTGGACCGACAATCATCTCCGCTGTCGGCTCGGAAAGGTCAGTTCGTTGTTAAAACCCGTCAGACATGTTGGATCATTAAATCACAGAACGGTCCGGGTCTGCAGACGATGCTGTAGATTCACATCCCATCGCTTCCTGAGAGGCCCTCCTCCTCCGGCTGCTTCCCATCATGGCCGCTGCAGGTTCGGTCCGCTCGGATCAGCAAACATCTGGGAACATCTGGAGGTTAAATGGAGGGAGCCTCGGTGCAGCCTGCAGGACACAAACAGCCAGCTGTGAGTCTACAGGAAGGTTTGCTTTTATTTTGGTTTTTCTGATGTTGATAACTAAATCTCCTTGACGATAAAACAATCGTTCAGCCTCCAGATCATCAGATCCAAACCCGCAGCAGCCATCTTTTCATCAAGCTGTGAAGCAATTTTTTTTAATGTAAAAAAAAAGAAGAAGAAGAAGAAGAAGAAGAAGAAGAAGAAGAAGAAGAAGAAGAACTGAAAATGCGAGTTAGGGACGTTTCCATCTGCTGGTTTGAAACGAACCTGTTGACGCTACGGCGGTAATAAACAGGAAGTTTGGTTCCTCTGGTAAGGCACAGACTCACTGTGGATGTTAGCGTTGGCCACCTCAGAACTTCTTTAGCAGATCTGTTTCCATCTCCACTTTAGCTACTATTTTTTTCAAAAATGGACTGAAGAGCGAAAAACCATTTTGTGAAATTAAGGAAGTTATTTTGAATTCCATTAACGTTTCTAAACGATGCGTCAAAGCGCTGATGGAGACCCGGCTAACGGCTAACGAGTCTGCTCTGACTCCATCCAGGTCTGGTTGCTTCGGTAACTGCTAACTGCCCCCTTGTGGTTGCTCCGAAGATGACGGCTCCTTTACATCCCCATGCTTAAAATTACAGCCATAAATGTGGGAAACATATTAGTTTTCTAATAAAACACAAACAGATACGAACAGAAGATGAGAATGGACTCAGAGCTAAATAAATAAATAATCTAATAATTAGACATTTTGGGCTGAAAACCTGCTGCTTTTATTTCCAGTGATCTGTTTATTTAGGGCCAGTCCAGACAGATGACCCCCCACTGACCCCACCCACCCCAGCTGATCCCCATCTGCCTCCATCAGGAACCGGGTCAGATGTTCCCGGTTCCCACTGAGGGATAAAAACCATCAACATGGACGGAGGTTCATGGAGGAGCAGCAGGAGGTCCAGCTGCTCCCCCATGAACCTCCTGCAGGAGGAGGAACAGAGACCTGCTCGGTGGTTGAATCCCGGCCGTCCTGCTCGGCCCATCGGCCCTCTGGTGCTGCTGCTGATGATGATGATGATGGAGGAGGAAGAGGAGTAGCAGCAGGAGGAGGGCTGCATCCCGCGGATAATACAGATTTATCCCGCATTAAATAAAAATAAAGCAAAAAGGAGAAATGAAATCCGAAATAAAAATGAATAAATCCTGAAGGAGTCCGAGAGGAAGCTCGTCCTTGTGAGTCCGAGTGGCTCGAAGAGGAGGAGGAGGAGGAGGAGGCGCGATCTCACTTTGTGCTCAGAAAAGACGTCAGGATGCTTCAGTTCCGTCCAGACAGCGTCAATAAGCAGGACAACTTCCGGTTAGGACTTTAAAAATAAAAGTTTAAAGCTGTAAAAGTTCAGTTACATTTTCAGGATTCAAAATATAATAAAACAGATGAACACAAATAAGAAACATATTATAAGAGTTAATATGTAACTAGTTACAGTTACTTCAGTAACTATTTTTACTGCGCTGCACGTTTTACTCGTACTTCAGTGATGTTATGAATTGTTAATTTTACTTGAGTTAAATTTCTGAATCCTCTCTGTAAGAAACGTCACTGAATTGAGAACAAAAATAGTTTAAACAGAAATTTACCAGACACACATCTGCAGTTTCTGTTAAAGTTTCTTACATTCACATAAATTCATTTGCATTTTTTTCTTTTGCCTGTTTTTATTATTTTGTAATTCACTTATTTGATTTCCTCCCCATTTTCTATTATTTAACATCTCAGGCAAATAACATATGAGGACGAAATTATTCACTAATGTTTTCATCTGTTCATAAAACTGAAGGATTAAAGTAAGATAAAGAATAAAGAACCAAATTTAGTGTTGATTTCTCTCTTATAATCTGATGTACTAGCTGAACAAGTCAGCGTCGGGCCGGGGGGCGGGGCCAATCACCGGGCCCCTAACCAATCACCGGGCCCCTTACGTGGAGTGAAATTGAAACTATTGAGCGGAGGGGTGGGGGTATATTTAACATTAAATACACCCTTCGCAACAGGCGAATTTGTGATCTGTTCACTACATTACTGCAATCTTTTAATGACCCATTTCCTACCTTCATTTATTACTCATTTAAAAATCCTGAACAATGTAAATAGATAATTTTAATGCAATGTAAATATTAATATGTTCACATAAAATAATGTTCATCTCATATGTTAAACCCAGTAAATAATGAAACAGCATTTTAACAGGTTTGTCTTTATTGTTGCGCTTTTATTTTGACAACAAACTTTCCGGGTTTCCGTGATATCTCCTGTCGTCTTTACCCACCTGCACGCGCATGCTGGTGGCAGCTTTGATGATGCGCGTTCACAACTCACCCCGGACAGACCGGGGAGCGCGCGCCAGCGGGAACGCGCGTCTTTTCATTGTGATGGCTGTCAAATTTTAATTATTTATTTACAAATTCCCTGCATTTGCCTGTGATAATGAATCCAAAATGTTCTTTTTCTTTTGTGAAAAGATAAACTTTTAATATTTTTACTTGTTTTTGTCTACTTTGTGTAGTATTTCACCTCTATCTACTAATATTTAATATTTAAATATGTTAAATTATGTAAATTCTTTCAATTGAAGATGCTGATATATACTCTATAGTTTGTTGATGTGTGGTAATAAATATTATTTTGATGTGTATATTTTTCCATTTCATTTCAATTTTATTCATAGGATTGACTAGATTAAATAAGGTAAATTTACATACAATAATAATTTGGACTGTTTTTAATTAAACTAAATTCGTATTAGGCTTTATTTTTATTTTTTTTATATAGAATCCATACAAATTTGAATGTAAATCTGAGTTCAACAGATTTTCACTGAAATGATTCTCAACCATAAAATATCACTCTGGTTCTTTTAAATTAAAATAAAAAATATATCGTAGCGGTTGTTTCCAGCATTTTTCGGTCATTTTCATAGTTTTTACCAAAATAAAAGTCACCTTGAACTGTCTTTTATTCTGAAGGCCTGATGTATGTTGACTGAGCTGTGACGTACTTCCTCCCGTCCAAGGTTCACCCTGTTATCTGTGGCTTCTCTGTCTTATTTCCACCTCAGATCGCCTGTAAAACCTTCTAAAACCTGTTGCTACTGAATCATTTCACATTATTCAGATTCACTGAAGTTCAAACTCCGGCATTCTGTTTGCGTCACATCGGTTTCCGGTCAGTTTTCGTGTCTTTTCCGACGTTTCTTTGTCGAAGTTGAATCGCAGTTAGCTCCAGAGCTAGGCATCATACCGTCCCGTAAAGAACCAATCAGCGGATCGATATCTGAAGCATGGACCAATCAGGAGTCGCAGCACAGACACAGAAGGTAAGCAGACATGTTGCTCAGGGCAGGTTTTAACACTTTATCTTTTCTGTTCTTAGTTTTATTTGATTTTAAACAGTTTATCTCCGTCTTTTAGCTGGTAGGTGAAACCGAGACTTTTGACCCAATTTGTTTCAAACTAAAATCAAAATAAATCAACTTTATTCGTGTGAAAATGAGAAATTATTCTTTAAATTAGATGTTTCTCTAGTGTCGGCCATGTCTGCTGGACAGGAGATAACATTTAATAACTGGATGTTTCCATCAGTCAACAACAGCAGCTCGGTGCTGAGAATCAGACCCAACCAAACGGCGGAAAATGACTAATTTATTCATAAACTAACCTAAATAATGTGAGGCTTAATTAGGACGACCAGTAAAGAGCAGAAAGGACAGGAACTTTGAATCGGTTTGATTTTTTTCAGGCTTTTTATCCACATAAAACAAATCAGGAGAAGCGTGTTTTATTCAGTTTATAGTAAAATCGTGAGAAGTTGTGACCCAAAAAGATAATTCATTTTAAACCCTGTTTAGATATCATAATTTTTGTTGTCCTAGAAGACCTTTATACATATTCACCGTTTTAATTTGTCTAAATAACAAACTAATTAGTGTTTTAATTGATCCAGAAGGTTTAACGTTTGTTACAGTAGAAAGTTTTGGCTCGTTAAAATGGCAGCAGGGAATTTTCTGGCCTGAATCATGAACAGTTGAAGTTTTGAGTTGTTTTCAGATGAAACCTGAAATATTTACAGTACAGTGAAAATCATTCTAGTTTATTTTTATGATCCCAGACTTTGGTCGACATATTCATGACGTCAGTTAGTGATCGTCATATAAATGTTTGAGAGCAATAATACTCTGTGGTTGATTAAAAAACATGGACTTTCTTCAGAAAACTTTATAACCAAAAGAAACTTTTTGGTTATAAAAAAA